GGAACACTTCCCTTCTCTGAACTGTTTGGAAGGGCACAGCTCAGGCACAACCAGAGTAAAAAGATGCAGAGGGCTGGGAGGGCGATGTCGTACTTCAGCACACCACCTCCCAGTATAGCTAAAAGCATGATCTGGCATGATTAGGTGCATCCACATGTCTAAAAGGGTTATCCCTATCAACAACGTTAATTTTGATGACACCAACCTTTTTTTTTTTTTTTCAAGCTTTGCATTTTATAAACTAAATCTTAGAGGACCGAAGAACAGAGAAAGCAATAAACATTAATGTTCCGTGTTTCTTGTTAATTTTGTCAGGCTTTTAACATGATCTGATCAGTTACGTTTCTGTTTGAGCTGAAATTCTTTTAGTGTTTAAGTAGGCCTGTCTCATGTGGGCGCCAGGTGATGTCTACTTGTAATCACTGATACTGCTTTTAAGCAAAATTGTAAAAGGTCTAAACACTTTGAACATTCCAGATTCTGCTACAAAAGCTGACACTCGGGGCTGTGCTGGCTGTCGGCTTCTGTGTGTCTATGATCTGCTTAGTGAACCTCTTATAAAGTTGTGTAACCACTGTATGTTGATATTCTGCTACAGAAAAAAAAAAAAAAGGCTTGCCAAGTCCTGAAGATGGTATTCCAGCACTCTTCGCTTGTCCTGCTTAATCTCCTCTCTGTCGCTATTCCACGGTGTGCCCTGAGCCCCAGGGGCTGAGCTCATAACAGAGACCCAGTATTCTTCAGTCTCTCATAACAAACTTTAGGCAAACCCAGCCTAGAGCCTTTCCTTCCAGAACTCTCTGCAACTACCAATCTCTTAAATTTGGCCAAGAAAAAAAAAAAAAAAAGGCTTTTGACATTCTCTCCTTAAATGTCAGTGTGCGCACACACACACACACACACACACACACACACACACACACACCATGGGATCAAATCACGCAGGAAGAGCTTTCCTCCTTGTGGGATGACCAAAGCAATCCATAGGATGGATTAATCAGTAATTTTGTCACAGAAAATTGTTCTGAGACATGGAGGGAAAATTGTTCTGAGACTATCATGGTCAAAATGGAGTCAGGTATGGCACTGGTGAGGAGCAAAAGCCCCCAAAAATGATGCTTCACACATGCCACCAACAACAAAACCTCAATAAAAAATAAATAAGCCAGGCGTGGTGACGAACACCTTTGATTACAGCGCTCAGAAGGCAGAGGCCGGGGATCTCTGTGAGTTCCAGGCCAGCCACGGCTACATGGTATATTTTGACCCAATAATAATAGTAAAAATAAGAACAACAGTAATAACATAGAAGTCATACTTGAAGGAGAAAAGAAAGCTTTCCATGATGAACATGGGCTTCAGGAATGCGTGACCACTGAGCCAGCTCTACAGAAGGTACTTGAAGGGATTCTTTGGAACGAAGAGAAAAGCAAACCATCTATGGGGCAAGAGGGAAATAGCAAAACATAAAACACTACAAAAATCAACAAAACGGCAGGCAATAATAAACACTTCTCAATAATAACTCTAAATACTGACAGTCTCAATTCCCTGATCAAAAGCACAGACTAGCAGATTGGATGAGGGGCAGGAACCATCCGTTTGCTGTCTCTAGGAAGCACCTCACCACAAAAGACAGACGCCACCTTAGAGTGAAAGGACAGAAAGTGTATCCAAGCAAGTAGAAATAGAAAAAGGACACAAAAACCACTGCCTTCTAGCATTTGACAAAGTGGATTTCAGAGATAAAAAAAAAAAAAAAGGTGAGTCACACCTCAAGAACACATTATCATCTTGAACATAAACTCCCCAAACATGGGTGTGCCTAATTCACAAACACTACTGCAGGTAAAACCACAGATGAACACCCCACTTTCATCAATCAACAGATCACCCAGGAAAAAAATAAAGAAATGTCTGAATTAAATAGCATCATAGGTCAATGGACTTAATACATATCTACAGAACATTTCACCCAAACACTGCAGAATATGGTATTTTTTCAGCAAACCACAGAACTTTCCCTAATTTAGATCATATGTTAGAACACAAAGCAAGTCTCAACAAGTAAAGGAAAACTAGGATAATTCCTATATTCTGCTGTTCACAATGAGACAAAGCTTCCAAACCACAGCAAGAGAAACTCCTGAATACTCATGGGATTAACACACTACTAAGCCGGGTGTGGCGGGGCACACCTTTTGTCCCAGCAGAAGCAGAAGCAGGCGATCTTTGTGAGTTTGAGGACAGCCTGGTCTACAGCGTGAGTCCCAGGACAGCAAAGGCTACACGGAGAAATCTTGTCTTGAAAAACCAATAGATAAATTACGCACTACTGAATGATGAATAGGTCATTGGAGAAATAAAGAAATAAAGCACTGTTTAAATCAAACCAAAATGAAAATGTCCCAAACCTGTGGGACACAGTGAAATCAGTCCTAAGAGGAAAGTTTATAACTCTAAAGAGTGCCACATTATCCAACTAAAAAGATTCTATCTTAGTGACTACTCTGTGGCTATAACAAAATTACCTGATAAAAGCAACTTAGGGGAAAGGGTTTGTTGTGACGGACCATTTCAGAGGGATAGAGTCCCCCGTGAGGAGGAAGATATGACAACAGTGAAGAAAGGCAGAGAGGTAGGAGCAGGAAGGTGGCTGCAATCACACTCAGGAAGAAGAGAAAGCAAAGGAGATGCTGGCTTGGCCCAGCGGAAGGAAAGGGATGGAACCAGTGGTCAGAGTCTGGAATAACTGCAGGCCTGTCAAGGTCACTGTGAGCAGTGGATGGAAGCAAGGGTGTTTAGGATGAGCTCACAGGACACCAGCACCAGAGGGGCCAAGTGTATGGCACGGGGTCCTCCAAGGAATGCAGCATGCTAGCATCCCGGAGGAGGGGGCGTAACAGTCAGAGGAAAGGGAGTTAGAGATCTCCTCTCGGAGGGCTGCAGGACCATTCATGCAAGCTGATTCGTGGTGCAGAGTGGGAAGGGACCTTGCTACAGGTCCCTTCGTTTCTGTAGACCGGTGCTCACACAGATTTTCACCCTGACAGCACATCACCAACTGGACGAAATACTCTCAAGCTGAGACAGGTTTGGGGTATTTATAAAGCAGGTACCTGCAAGCAGGTACAGAGGGAGCCAGCTCTATCCACCATCTCCAAGAAGCCAGCAGCAAGCCGCTTTAGGTAAGTCTTTAGGAGCAAGGAAAGTGTATTTTTCTTTAGCTTTCCACAGCTCTCACATACACTCATACAAACAAACAAACAAATAAATGAACACTCCCTAGGTGAGAATAAACAGAAGAAAAACTACAAAAGCTTCTGGTTTGACTACAACATATGTGCTAAGGACTGAAAGACTGGAAATGAAGACAGAGAAAAAATAACAATAATAAATGAAGACTGAATGAAAGCTTAGAGATTATATAATCACAATGAAAAACTAAATGGGTAGATTTGACAATTGAGGAAAGAGTCAATGAAATAAATAATGAAGATGAAGCTGGGTGTGGGTGCGTGTAACTGTGATCCCAGGACTTATGTGGCAAATGCTGGAGGATTGCCATAAATTCAAGACCAAAGCAAGTGACTGTATTAGTCATGGTTCTCTAGAGCAACAGAAAACAGATTTAAATGGATAAATGAATATATATTATATATAGATGAATATATATGCATATATGTACATATATACGGGATTTCTTAGAATGACTTACAGGCTGTAATCCAGCTAATCCACGATGGATGCCTGTGAACAGAAGGTCCAAAAATCCAGATGTTTATTCCCCAAGGCTGAACATCTCAGCTCATCTTCCGTATATGCCAGAATCTTAAAGAAGTAGCCTCTAGTGCAGTGATTCTCAACCTTCCTAATGCTGCCACCGTTTAATACAGTCCCTCATGTTGTGGTGACTCCCAAACATAGAATTATTTTCCTTGCTACTTAATAACTGTGACTTTGTGTTACAAATCGTAATATAAATATGATATTTCTGGTGGTCTTAGGTGACCCCTGTGAAAGGGTCAGGACCCGAAGCTTGAGAACCACTACTCTAATGCCAGTCACAAGATGCCCTTGCTAGCAAGGGTGAAAGCAAGCAGACAAATGTGACTTCTTTCTGCCACGTCCTTGACACAGGCTTCCAGCAGAAGGTCTGCCCAGAGAAGAGCCGGGGCTTTCTGCCTCCAAAGAGCTGGGTAAAGGTGGGCTGTCCCACCCCAGAGATCTAGACGAAAAGAGGAATTTCCCACTTCAAATGACTGAACAAAAACTCCTCAAAATGCTGCCGAGACATTTTAGGATTTTAGTTAATTTGAGATGTGGTCAAGTTGAGAGTGACCACAATTGTCAACTTGACATGCAATCACATCGTCTTCTGTCAGGCCTAATCTCCAAATGAAACTGTAACCAGGTCATAATTACACCAAAAGGAATATAATAACTATCTCAGGTCATAATTATGCTTAGCATGATAAAAACTATCCCTTATACAACTGAATATACAATATCAATTTAGAATAGGCTGCACTGTCCCTTGACAGACCTTCATGTAGTATCTGAAACATAAATATGTAGATAAGCTTTGATAGTCCCTTACTTGACCTTATATCACTCCAACACCAAGCTCCAGCTAGTTTCCACTGCACTCGGGAGAATCCGAGGCTGTGAGAACGGATCATGGGTTCTCTGACAAGAGGGCCAGAGAATGAGGCGGTGTTGAGCTGCTGTGTGGAAGTCCAGGTCGCCCTGGTAGTGTCTGATGGACACAGAGGGTAGAGGGCAGGTGCCAGGACACCTGGGAATGAACCTTCACCAGTAAGCACCACATTCCCTATCCCTCTGTACTCACGGCCCCCACAGAAGCGACAGGAGGAGGAGAGAGTTACCTCACAAACCTTTATTTAGTTTCACTTTCTTCCTGATGAGGTAGAGAGAGGAGCACACCTACAGGGCTGTACGAGGCTCTTAGAGGAAGAGCAGGGACTCTCCACTTGTCTTCACGGAAGACTTGGGTTATTGTCACACACTGACCCCGGCTGCTGCAAGCTGGTGTCTCCAGGGGCCGGAAGTAGGGGTGGGACGGCCGGATAGCCAGGGTTCCAGGGCTCATATCCGGGAACCTGTGAATGCTCCACGAACACCATCGGTGACGGGTTCCCCTGAAGCTCTCCAGAAGGTGCAGGGAAGCCATAATCCCAAGGCTGGCACACGGGAGATGGCAGCACCATTGGAGGCTGAGGGTACGTGGGAAACAGGGGGTTACCAGCCCCATCAGAGAGAGGACCTGAGAGGAGAAGGAACAGAGAGAGAACGTAAGCATGGCACCCTCGCTCCCCCTGAATCAGGCGAAGTCATGTGCTGGCCCGTTTGTCACAGTCAACTGTGAACAAGCCCAGCTTCCATCCCCTTGTGGTGACAGAAAAAGGTTAGCCACACAGAGGCCACTCTTTCCTGGTGTATGCAGGAGAGGCCTGTGGGAAAGGGGCTGCCCTACATTGTGTTCTCTGCTCGATGCTCATGAAGAACAGGCCAGCTGATGCCGCTTTCGGGAGGACCCGACCAGTCTACACAGAGAGGTTAACCTGGGAAGGGGCTTCTCTGGCACGGATAGCCCAGGATCCTGTACAGGGCCTCTGCATATGGAGAAAACAAGGATCCCATCCTCGGTTTCTCATTGCAGAGAGTCCAGTGCAGACCCTGCATGGTCAGCAGCAGGTCAAAGCAGCTTTTCCAGGTCTTCTTCAGGCCCCGCTGATAGAGGCGCTGGCAGAGAGCCTTGGTCTTCTTATGTATCTTCCTGCCTGGGTAGCTGACTTCCTGTTCAACGACTTCCCATTCCTGCAGGAAGACCCTGATTTCAGAGTCAGTCCACCGGCTATGGGAAGGACCTGGAAGGGACAGAGGGATGTGATGAGTGCACTTGACATCACGCACAAGGACATCTGAACTTTCTGGGGACTCTCCTGTACACTCAGCAGCCAGAAGTGGCCTCATTCAGTCATGGAGAGATTATACCCACCAGCCCAGAAGTCCGCAACTACCCTGCCTGTAATATTCAGGCCTAGACTCACCGGGACAGTGCAGGTATCTTCAGTTTAAGAAACTATCTCTCAGGATGCTATGGGATCTCACAGGACAGGTGCTACTGGCCACACTGTCCCTACATAGACTCACAAACCACTTCTGCCCCAGGGAGCCTCTCACAGTCTCTGAGCCTTTGGGTCTTCTGTAAGAAGGACAGAGACCTGGCACCACAGAGTACCAGTCTATGCTTGTCACAGCTGCTAACATCTGGGGTCTCTCATATACCCACAAGCCACAGCACAAAGAAATACAGAAGATTTGGCTTTAGCACAGATCTGACTTTGAATACCTGAGGGCCTTTGGCCTTCCTGCGTTGGACTCCATCCCACATTGGCTTCTGGGGTGTTTCTCAGACTTGGGATTTGGTTTACTGCACTCTGTGCAGAAATATTAAATATTAAAACAGAAAAATATTAAAACAGTTTTTATGCAACAGGAATCTCTCTTAGCTGTGCATGGACTCAGGGACCAGCCTCTTGCAGCGTTAGCAAAACAATGGACTCATGATCTACAAGTGCTGGCTCATTCTCACCTAATGGGAAAGCTTGGTCCTGAAGTTAACCAGGGAAAGGCTCCCGTGAATCGTGTAGGCGCCCTTGGTGAAGTGAAAGGTAAGAACAGAAGCACCTCTTCTCTTTGAGAAGACCTCAGCCACTCTCACCAGCTCACTTTCTCCCCAGTCTCCTTTCTGTTCTCCTCGGGCTAAAAAGCTAATTTCAAATCTCCTCATAAACTCCAGGTCTGCCTCAAACATACCACAGTATCAGACAGACTATGAACCGGTACTTTTCCATCCCACACACACAACACGGGTGTGTAGGAGGCGGCTCTTTCCTAGGAGGTGTAGGGCGGTGGCGGCACGCACCTTTGATCCCAAGCACTCAGGAGCAGAGGCAGAGTTCGAGGCCAGCCTGGTCTACAGAGGGAGGTCTAGGGCAGCCGGATCTACACACAGAGAAACCATCTCGAAAAACAAAAACACAAAAAAGAGGTGTAAGGGGGCTCAGAAGTTCAGGGTCATTCTTGGCTACCTAGTGAGTGATGGGCTAGCCATGGGTCAGCAAATTGCTGCCTCAAGCAACAAAGACAAGAAAACCCAAGAACAGGAGGAGTGCTGCGTCTTGTAAATTGCAGTTATGTGTTCATGTTCAGGATGTTTAACCACGTTTTGCCACGCTGCCGTGGTTGTACAGGGAACACAGTACCAGCACCTTCCAGGAGGCTTGCTATGGGTACCCAGTGAGTTCACATCCATGTGGAGTGCAGAAGCACGCCAGAGACACACTTAGAGGCTCCAAGCCTTCTGAGAGGAACTGATAGACACATATCCCAGCCACCCTCCAGAAAACAGTGGATTCCCCCAACTCACCTCCATTCCTCTCCTGAGTTTCCTTTGCTCAGCAGAGTTGGGCACTAGGGTCCTCTGTGTCCTGTTGGGTGCACAAGAGTCTGCAGTGTAGAGAGAAACCTGTGCTCACTTCCTGGCCTTCTGTAAGTCTGAGAACCTGTGGAGATGTGGCCCCTTTTAAAGCTGTGGGGTATCATTGAAGCAGGCCCAGCCCACCTGGATGTTTAGGGTGGGTCAGCAAAAGATAGCCAAGAGCCTTTAATCTGATCTCAGGAGGCTGAGGCAGGGGAGGCTGAGGTAGGAGCAAAGCTCAGATTTCTAGAACTCCTGGGCTACATAGCACAAGAGTCTCAATTTGAAATTTTTAAAGAATCTAAGAAAAACCAAGTCAACTAAGTTAGGTTTTGTGTTTTGAGAGACAGGATTTCCTTACCTAGTCCTGGCCATCCTAGAAGTCACTAAAATTTAGACCCAACTGTCCAGGACATCACACCGATCTGCCTGCCTCTGGCTCCCCCTCCCAAGTGTTGGGATTAAAGGCATGGTGCTCTATGGCTGGTCAACTTAATAGTTTAAAACGTTTGCTAAATATCTTCAGTTCATGTAAAATTTGATTGAAAACTTGAGACAGTTTTTTTTTTTAATTTGTTATTTTACAGCTAAGAAACATTTCTAAAATTGTAGTTAGTCCATATTACATGAGAAAGTGGAGTCTGGGGATTTCTTCACCAAGAAGCACAAAGAGAAAAAGGAAGCAGGGGAGGGATGGGGGAAAACCGGAAATCATGGCCTGTGGGAAAAGCAGGAGTGAAGTCTGTCAGTCGTGGTGGTACATGCCTTTAATCCCAGCACTTGAGAGGCAGGGACAAGCAGATCTCTGTGAGTTCTAGGCCAGCCTGGTCTACAAAGTGAGTGCAGGACACCCAAGGCTACACAGAGAAACCCTGTCTAAAAAAAAAACAACAAAAAAAGAAAGAAAGAAAAAAAAAAGGGCAGTGGGGTCATCTATGGCGGAGGGCACACTGACTTTACAACCTCTGGCCAGGCCTCAAACGCTATTGACTTTCATTTTGTCTCAGCACTGCCACAGCCTGAACACCTGTGCCCTCATGCTTCTCTGCTCTCCAGAAGCTCACAGCTGCTTGCTTTAAGACAATGTTTCTCAACCTGTGGTCAAGACTCCTTTAGAGATTGAATGACCCTTTCACAGGGGTCACTGACATTGGAACTATCAGACACTTACATTACCATTCAAAACAGTAGCAAAACTACAGCTGCCAATGTGGAACGGGCACAATCTCACAGGTGGGGTGACCACAATGTGAAGAATGGTGTTAAAGGGTTGCATCATCAGGAAGGTTGAGAACCACTGGCCTATCAGATGTGCTGGAAGGTGTTGCTACCCTGTTCACTTCATTGCAGAGGAAACTGAGGGACAGCGTCGATGACAACTGGGAATAGAAAACCATGTCACTCATTTCAAGGGTCTGGAAACCCCTCCTGTTGGTGTTGGTCTTTCTTGGTTTGAGTTTGCTGGGGCAGCATCTCATGTACCCCAGGCTATCCTGCAGCCCACTTCGAATGCAAGGATGAGCAGGAACTTCTGCCCCTCCTCCCTAGGTCTCCCAGCTGCTGGATTATAACAGGAGCGCACACACCCAGATCAGGGTGTAGTGGAGGGAAAGCCATTGGCTCATGGAAAGCAGCAGAGATGGAGGTCAGTAAGAGATTTTAAACATCAGGACAAGAGAAAGCCAACTGGGAGGCATGGGTGTGAAGGATGGGTGTATTTGTTTCTTTCCTTCTTCTTTAGGAGACAGGAATGAGGTAATCCCAGGCTGGCCTGTAACTCCCTCAGTAGCATAGGATAACCTTGAACCCCTGATGTGTCCTCAGGGGTCTGGGATCTCTGCCCATTCACAGGCCTAGCAGCTGTGCAAAGCCCCAAGTGAAGGAGTTAGGAGGTGAGCCTCATATCAGCCCAGCCTCCTAGGTAACCAGTGTCCCATGAGAGCCCTCTCTTTTCTGGTGCAGAATTCCGGGGCTTCATAGCAAGCCTTAATTACTCTTCTGATAACTCAATGAAGCTGTACCTGGGGTATTAGTCAGAATCCTCTAGAGTAACAGAGCTTTTAGGATGAATGAATGTATGTATATGTAAAGAGGATTTATTAGAATGACTTACAGGCTGTGGTCCAGCTAATCTGAAAATGGTGACCTGTGAAGGAAAAAAATATCCAAAAATCCAGTAGTTCTTCATTGCTGAAGGCTGGATATTTCAGCTCACCTTCAGAAGACACTGGAATCCCGGAAGATAGGCTCCAATATTAGTGCGGGATTGAACTTGCTGTCTGCGCGATGGTAAGCAGGCAATGAGCCAAAGCTTCCTTCTTTCCTTTCCTTATATAGGTTTCCAGCAGAAGTCATGGCCCAGATTACATCTGGATTAAAGATGTGTCTTCCTATCTCAAAGATCTGGATTAGAAATAGATATTTCTACTTCAAGTGAAGCGGAAATCCCTCGCAGGCATGCCCTTTAATTTTGGGGTTTTGTTCATTTTAAATGTGATCAAGTTGACAACCAAGAACATACATCACCCTGACACAGCAAGAATCTATTAAAAAAAAAACAAGTAAATAAGTCAAAGAAATTATCCTGTACAAAACTAGAAAGAAAGAGAAGTAATGCCGGAGAACTTCAGTCTCCTTTGTCTGTTTTTAGTCTCACTGACAAAGAATGGACTCAAGTGAAACAAAAGGACAATTTTATTAGAGTTTCAAATTTTAAATTAATAAGTATATAAGACAACTTCAGAGAAGGTTGATTGTTAACCTCACCACTCCTTAGCCAGAGGAGGGGATGGAGGGAGGAAGAAAATGGCCATGTCTCGTAAGCTGGCCATGAGGTCAGACACGTGCCAATAAGCAGCACATGTGGGCATTAGGAGAATGGATTTAGAAGAAGAGTAAGGAAGCCTAAAAGGGGAGGGGGAGGAGCTAAAGTGTTAGGGAGACCATGCGTAGAAGAGACAGAGTCTGACTTAGTGAAGGCACACATCTTTAATAACAGCACTCAGGCGGTAGAGGCAGGTAATTTCTCTGTGAGTTTGAAGCCAGCTAGGTCTACCGAGAGTTTCAGGACAGCCAGGGCTAGTAGGGAAACCCTATCTCAAAAAGCAAAAAGCAAAGAAAAGGAAAAATTAAAACCAATAGACTTCAAGCCATATATATTGCTGTATCCCATAAGCTTCTGCCCGAAGGTGGAGATTCTGGGAAGGAAATAGTATCTCATTAAAGAGCTAATCATTCTTCTGAGCTCTTAGCTTGATCTAAGGTAAGCCTGCCTTCCTGGGAGTGGTCCTTGGCCAAGTGACTGAACCTTTCAGCTGGAACGATGACTCCACCCAGGCCAGAGATTCCATTCTTTACACCAGGGGTTTCTTCTGTTAAATCAACATGCTACCTCACTGCCTTTAATCCCAGCACTTGAGAGGCAGAAGCTGGCAGATCTCTGTGAGTTCGAGGCCAGCCTGGTCTATATATGTAGTAAGTTCCAGGACAAGGCTACACAAAGAAACCTTGTCATGAAAAACAAATGACAAACAAACAACAACAAATCAACATGCCAGTAGGGAAGGAGGCAGTTGGGAGCAGGGACAATATTTGAGAAGACAAAAAATTGTCAAGTCTAATGGAAGACCTCATCAAATCACAGTGAATTCCAAGGCCCCCCAAACCTCAAGTAAAACACTACATCAAGAAGCACAAAGATGAAAGCATGAAGGAGATGTTTATCTTAGCCCTCACTGGTCATCCCTGCTTTCAGTTTGTGTTGTCTTCTCACCTGTATATTCACACAGGATCTGGCTCATTCATATTTCTTCTTATGCTTTTTTTCTATTTCACCATGAATATTCTCTATGTTAGTACATTTTTTCTTCAGATGTATAATATCTAAAGTCATCTAAGATTCCATCAGTTAAATCAGGTGTATACTCACACCCGCAGGCCTGGTGCCCGTCAGGCTGACCTAGATCTGGCCAGCCTAGGCTCCAGAGCAGTTTGAAGACGGCCCAGGCTACCCTGCCTCAAAACCCACCAACAGAATAAATAAATAAACAGGCTCGGCCATTTCACAGTAGGACAGTTTGTTTAATGAGAAGCCACTTTTGTACATACATCTCTTTTTTTTCCCCTCCAGTTTTTCTGTGTGATGTGCATATGTCTGTGCGCATGTTTTTGTATGTGTGAGGGGGCAGAGGCTTAAAGGCGATGTGGAAAAATCTGCCTCAACCGCTCGTCCACTTTATCCATTGAGTCGTTCGCTCACAGCCACAGGCAGGCTTGCTGGGTAGCTTACTCCGGGATCTCCACCTTCAGAGGCTGGAGTTACAGGGATCAGCCACGCCCACCAGACTCCCATCGGGATGCTGGCTGAGCCATCCTCTCATCATCCCCGCTGATCATCTTCAGGACGACTGCCTGGGAGGGAGTTGGTGAGGTGAGGGAGATGAAGTCAAAGCCGCACATTACAGAAGTGCTTTCCAGAACCTCTGCTTCTGCCCCCGAGGACCCTGTCCCCACTGCCCCCCACTCACGTTAATTGACCTGCATGGATGCTCCTACTCAATAAACGGAAGCCGCGCCCACATATCAACTAGTAAAAGACCCCCCGAAAGAACCCAAACCCCTTAGAAGAACAAAACCGTGAAAATGTGGAGATCCGTTCACTGTTTGTAAGCTTTGCCTCCTCTGTTTCCCGAAACAATGCGCTCCGTTTACTTGAACAAAGCGTGCCAAAGTGCAGCTCTCATCTGTTCTTTCTCCCCCTCCCCCAGCGTCAGGCAGTTTGTTTTATGACAAATGGTGGCCTTAGCCATTCAGCACACATCCCAGCCTCTAATCACAGCCCATAATCTCGTTTTCACATTTCTCTCTGCTTCTCCTGCTCAACCCTGCTGACCAAAGCACTTTTATTGTGCCGCTTCAAAGGGCCAGGGATTGAGCAGAAACAAAAGCGAGGGCTGAGAATTGTCACACCATGTGCCCTTCCAGCTATGCCCTCACACGAATAGAAACGAGCTGGAGCCTCGCCAACACCACTTGATGGAAAACTCTGACTTCAAAAAAAAAAAAAAAAGAAAAAAAGAAAAGAAAAAGAAAAAAAAAATCTCTGGTGCTTTTGAAAATGCACCACGGTTAGCCCAGGTTGAGAGAAAGACCCATGTGGTCACAAATAAGTGCACAGCTGTCCACCCTCCCTTTCCTGGATGGCGGGTCCTCTAGATATGGCAGCCTAATGCAACCACTCAGTTCTGCCTACGGCACAGGAAGGGACCGTAGACACCAGCCGATGAGTGTGGCTGGACCCACCTAGCATCACCCAGCATGGGCAGCAGCGGGACTCAGTTCTTCAGAAGTCCCTCCGCACTTCCTGTTTCTAACCGGACAGCCATTCTTGATCCTACTAACTGTGGGACCAGGCTCAGTTCTGTGCGGCAGAAGGGCAGTTTGGAATTTGGTTGTCCAGCACTGGCTGATGGCAAGGATGTGTGACAGAGTGGGCTGAAGAGCGAGCGGCCAGTGTGACGTAGCCTGCCAGGTTCCCACTGTCACAGGTTCTTATGGAGGAGGTGAGACTCAGAATGAAGCACCTCCGGTGAGGTGAGTGAGCCCAGCTTTCCAGATGGCCTCAAAAAGGAGTATGCCTCTCCTCTCCTCCTTTCAGCAGCCAGCCCAATTCTCAGGAGCAGCCTTGCCTTTGCAAGCTTCTGGTCTGCATTTTCAACTCCACGCTCATGTTGACAACTCCTGCTTCCTCAAAAAGCTTCCCCGATGGTCTCCCCAGGACTGCACTGAGAGCCATCCATTTAAATCTTGTCCTTCATTCTTGTCTCTTTAAATATGCTCTTCCTGGGACCTCACCTTCCTGCAGGCCGTGTCTTTGTCAGCAATCCTCTTCCCTCAGTTCCCTAGAGCTTTGCTCGGCTCCCGGGATTGCAAACCCCACATGTCCACATACCGTAGCCTCTTCCTTCTGATCATATTCTTGGAGTTGGTGGAAGCTTGTATCAAGACTTAAGTCGTGTCAGGTGGTGGCAGCACCCGCCTTTAATTCCTGCACTGGTAAGGTGGAGAGGCAGGCAGATCTCTGAGGCCAGCGTGGTTTACAGAGAGAGTTCAAGTACAGCCAGGGCTACACAGAGTAACCCTGTCTCAATGGGGGGAAAAAAACCTTAAGTGACACTATTAAGTTGCCATTACTGTGACATTTCCAAGAGAGTTTAAAAATCTCTCAGAGGTTTTTGGTCCATGGTCACTGGAGTGTATCACTATGGTCCTACAGCAGCAATGAACATTGTGGTGACAGCATGTGGCAGAGACCTGTTTCCTTCCTGCCAGCCAGGAAACAGAGAGGCAAGAGGGGCCTCTCAACATCAACTGTCCCAACAACTTAGTAAAAAGACACAGACTGTGGTGGTTTGAATAGGGATGGCTCCCATAGACTCATGTGTTTGAATGTTTGGCCCATGGGGGGGGCACTATTAGGAGGTGTGGCCTTCCTGGAGTGGGCGTGGCCTTGTTGGAGGAAGTGTGTCACTGTAGGGGTGGGCTTTGAGGTCTCATATATTCAGTCTAGGCCTAGGGTGGCAGTCTTCTGCTACCTGCAGATCGATGTAGAGCTCCGCCTCCATGCCACCATGCTTCCTGCCATGATGATAATGAACTAACCTCTGAGCTATAAGCCAGACCCAACTAAATGTTTTCCTTTATAAGAGCTGCCTTGGTCATGGTGTCTCTTCACAGCAACAGAAACCCTGATTGAGACACAGAACGGATGTGAAAGCAAAATTCATCCTTCTTCTGCATCTAAGAAACACATCTTAACATCAAAGACAGACATCACCTCAGGATTAAAGGATGGAAGAAGATACTCCAAGCAAATAGAGCTAAGAAGCAAGCTGTTGCAGCCATTTTCATACCTATCAAGATAGACTTTAAACAAGAACTAATCAGATAGGGAATGACACTACATACTCAACAAAGGGGGGAAAAACACCAGGGGGTACATCTACATACCATACCATACATACCAGTGCATGAGCACTGAAGATTATACAAGAAACACTGCTATAGCTTAAATCACATATTGACACTCACGCACTGATAGTGGGAGGCTTCAATACACATTCAGCAATACACAATCACCAAGACAAAAGAAAAACCAAACAAATGCTGAAGCTAAAAGATGTTATAAACAAAATGGACCTAAAGGATATTTATAGAACATTTCACTAAAATGCAAACAAATAAACCTTCTTCTTAGAACCTCATGGAACTTTCCCCAAAATTGACTACATAGTCAGACATAAAGCAAATCTCAACAGACATTAGAAAATTGAAATAACATCCTGCTTTCTATCTGACCACCACAGATTAAAGCTGGGTATCAGAAACACCAGAAAACACCTTGGAAACTGAGCAATTCATTACAGAATAAAAAATGGGTCAAGACAGGAATTAAGAAAGAAATTAAATACTTTCTAGAATTGGATGAAAATGAATACACAACATACCCAAACTTATGGGACAAAATAAAGGAGGTTCTAAGAGGCAAGTTCATAGCACCGAGTGTCTTCATAGAAGTGGAGAAATCTCATACTAGCAACATAATAGTATGTCTGAAAGATCTAGAGAAGAGGAGGAAGAAGAGGAGAAAAAAAGGAGAAAAGGAGGAATAGGAGGAGGAGGAGGAGGAAGAGGAGGAGGAGGAGAAGAAGAAGAAGAAATCACACCCAAAAGGAGTAAACAGAAAGAAATAAACTCAAGGCTGAAATCAATAAAATAGAAAGACAACAATACCAAAAAAAAATACAAAGAGTCAATAAAATAAAGAGTTGCTCCTTTGAGAAAATCAGTAAGAATGACAAACCCTTATCCAAAGTATTTAAAAAGAGGAGAGAAAATATCCAAATTAACAAAATCAGAAACGAAAAGGGGGGGGGGACATAAAACAGACACCAAGGAATTTTCCAGAGAATTTTAAGGACATACTTTAAAAACCTGAACTCCACCAAATTGGAAGATCTTTAAGAAATTTATACTTTTCTCAGTACATATCACCTATCAAAGTTAAACCAAGATCAGATAAGCAATTTAAATAGACCTATAACCCTGAATAAAATAAAATAGAAGCAGTCATTAAAAGTCTCCCAACAACAACAATAACAAAAAAGCAAAGCCCAGGGCCAAATGTTTTTTGGTTTTGGGTTTTTTGTTTGTTTTTGTCTTTCTGTTTTTATGGGGTTTTTTTGGTAGGTTGTTTTTTTTTTTTTTTTTTTTTGTTTTGGTGTGGTTTGGTTTGGTTTGATTTTGGTTTGCTTTTTCAAGACAGGGTTTCTCTGGTAGCCTTGGCTGACCTGGACTCACTTTGTAGACCAGGCTGGCCTTGACCTCACAGAGATCCACCTGCCTCTGCCTCCCAGAGTGCTGGGATCACAGGTGTGTGCCACCACACCTGGCTCCAAATGGTTCTAACACAGAATTCTACCAGACTTTCAAAGATGCCAATACTCCTTGATTATTCCACAAAGTAGAAATGGGACCATTGCTCAGTTTATTATATTAGGCCACAGTTACCCTGATATCCAGGCCACATAAAGACCCAACAAAGAAAGAGAATTACAGATCCATTTCTTATATGAACATCAATGCAAAAATACTCAATAAACTACTTGTAAATTGAATCCAAGAACACATCAAGAAGATCAACCATCATAATTGAATAGGCTCCATCCCAGAGATGCAGGGATGATTCAACATATATAAGCCAATAAAAGTAATCTACCATCTAAGCAAACTGAAATTAAAAAAACAAAACAAAGCACATGATCATCTCATTAGATGCAGAAAAGGCCTTCCTTTGACAAAATCCAACTTTTTCATGATAAAAGTCTTGGAGAGATTTAGGTATAGAGGGATATACCTTAACATAATAATAGCTGTTTACAGCAACCCCATAACTAACATCAACTTAAATGGAGAGAAACTCAAAGCAATTCCACTCAGGAACAAGACAAGACTGTCCACTTTTTTCATACCGATTCAATATAATACTGGAAGTCTTAGCTAGAGCAATAAACAACTAAAGGAAATCAAAGAGATAAAAATTAGAAAGGAAGAAATCAGCATATTTACAAATGATATGATAGTATACATAAATGACTGAAACACTTTCAGTGAAGTAGCAGGGTGCAAAATGAATGCACGAAAATCAGTAAGTAGCCTTTCTGTATACAAACAACAAATGAAATCAGGGAAACAATAACTTTCACAATAGCTTCAGATAATAATATAAAATATCTTGAGGTTAAGTCTAACTAAGCAAGTGAAAGATATGTATGATAAAAATTTTAACACAATGAAGAAAAATTAAAGAAACTATTAGAAGATGGAAAGATCTCTATTATTCATGGATCAGAAGTATTAATATAATAAAAATATTCTTCAACCAAAAGAAATCTACAGAT